AAATTTTACGTTTTTTCGTGACTATTGCCCGAAAAATGAAAAAAATTAATTCGTAAACGTTCGAAAAATATAAGAATCAAGAAGAAAAAAAACACCTCAAAAAATTTCCAAATCGCACCAGTCACCTTAGAATATTGATACGAAAAGAATATCAAGATTATCAATTTTTTTTGTGACTGCCCAAAAAATTTCAAAAACGTCCGAAAAATATAAAAATCAAGAAAATGCATAAAAACACCACCAAAAAATTCTCAATCGCATCAATCAACTTCGAATACAAATAAAATGTCAAAATTTTACATTTTTTCGTGACTGCCTTAAAAATATCAAAAAATCTAATTAGTACACGTCCCAAAAAATATAAATAATAAGAAAAAGAGATAAAAACACCTCAAAAAATTCCTGAATCGCACAAATCACCTAAGAATATCGATACGAATAATATATTAAAAATTTACATTTTTTCTTGACTGCCCGAAAAAAATCAAAAGTTTTAATTCGTAAACGTCTGAAAAATATAAAAATCAAGAAAAAGACATAAAAACTCCTAAAAATTCCCGAATCGCACCAGTCACCTTAAAATAACGATACAAATGAAGTATCAAAACCTCACATTTTTTCTTGACTGCTCGAAAAATATCAAAAACTTAAATTCGTAAACGTCAAAATAAAGAAAAATGCATAAAAACACCTCAAAAAATTCACGAATCGCACCACTCACCTTAGAATATCGATACGAATAAAATATCAAAACTTAACATTTTTTCATGACTGCCTGAAGAATATCAACTATTTTTATTCGTAGAAGTTTGAAAATATAAAAATCAGGAGAAATGCATAGAAATTCTCGAATCGTACATGTCACATTAGAATATCAATACGAATAAAATATCAAAATTTTAGATTTTTTTAGTGACTGCCCAGAAAATAACAAAAATTATAATTTGTAAAAGTTCGAAATATATAAGACTCAAGAAAAAAACATAAAAACACCTAAAAAAATTCCAGAATCGCACCAGTCAACTTAGAATATCGATACGAATAGAATATCAAAGTTTACATTTTTTTGTGATTGCTCGAAAATATCAAAAAATTTAATTCGTAAATGTCCGAAGATATAAATATGAAGAAAACTTCCTGAATCGCATCAGTCACCTTAGAATATCGATACAAATAGGATATAAAAAATTATACATTTTTTCGTGATTGCCCGAAAATATATTAAATTTTAATTCGTAAACGTCCGAAAAATATAAAAATTAAAGAAACGACATAAAAACACCTGAAAAAAATTCTCGAATCGCACCAGTCACCTTAGAATATCGATATGAATAAAATAAATAATTTTACATTTTTTCGAGATTCCTCAAAAAATATCAAAAATTTTAATTTCTAAACGTCCCAAAATTATAAAAATCAAGAAAATGACATTAAAACATCTCAAAAAAATCCCGAATAGCACCATTAACCTTAGAATATAGATACGAATAAAATATTAAAAAAATTTAATTCTTAAACATTCGACAAAATATAAAAATAAAAAAAAGACGTAAAAAGACCTCAAAAATTTCCTGATTCTCAATAGTCACCTAAGAATATTGATACGAATAAAGTATTAAAATTTTACATTTTTGCATTACTTTTCAAAAAATATCAAAAATTTTATTTCATAAACGTCCGAAAAACATAAAAATTAAGAAGAAGGAATAAAAACGCCTAAAAAATTTCAGAATCGCACCAGTCACCATAAAATATCGATACAAATAAGATGCCAAAATTTTACATTTTTTCGTGATTGCTCGAAAAATATCAAAAATTTTAGTTTGTAAACGTCCCAAAAATATAAAAATCAAGAAAAAGACATAAAAACATCTCAAAATATTCTCGAATCGCACCATTCACGTTAGAATATCAAAACGAATAGAATAACAAAATTTTACATTTTTTGGTGAAGCCAAAAAAATATAATAAAATTAATTCGTAAATGTTCGACAAAATATAAAAATCAAGAAAAAGAAATAGAAACACCTCAAAAAAATTCTCAAATCGCACCAGTGAACTTAGAATATTGATACGAATGTATTATCAAAATTATTTATTTTTTCAAAATTGCCGGATAAATATCAAAAAATTAAATTCGTAAACGTCCGAAAAATATAAAAATCAAGAAAATGACATAAAAACATCTCGAAAAATTCTCGAATCGAACCAGACACCTTAGAATATCGATACGAATGAAATATCAAAATTTTATATTATTTCGTGACTTCCCAAAAAATATAAAAAAATTAATTCATAAACGTCCGAAAAATATAAAAATGAAGAAAAAGATACAAAACTACCTCAAAATTTTTTGAAACACAACAGTCACCTTAGAATTCGATACAAATGAAATATCAAAATTTTACATTTTTCGTGAATGCCCGAAAATTATCAAAAATTTTAATTCGTAAACCTCCGAAAAATAAAAAAATCAAGAAAAATCCCTTCAATATTCCCGAATCGCACCAGTCACATTAAAATATCGAAACCTCACATGTTTTCCTAAATGCCCGAAAAATATCAAAAATTTTAATTCGTAAAAGACAGAAAATATCAAAATCAAGAAAATGTACAAAAACACCTCAAAAAATTCCCGAATCGCACAAGTCACCTTAGAATATCGATACGACTAATATATAAAATATTTAAAAAAATTCGGGAATGCCCGAAAAATATCAAAAATTTCAATTCATAACGTATGAAAAATATTAAAATTAAGAAAAAGACATAATAATAATTCCTCAAAAAATTCCTGAATAGCACCGTCATCTAAGAATATTGATACGAATAAAATATAAAAAAAATTCGTAAAGGTCCGAAAAAATATAAAATGCAAGAAAAAGATTAAAAACACCTTAAAAATTCTTGAATCACACCTTGTCACCTTATAATATCGATACAAATAAAATATCCAAATTTTACATTTTTCGTAACTTCCCAAAAATATCTAAAATTTTAATTCGTAAACGTCTAAAACATATAAAATCAAGAACTGACATAAAAAACACCTAAAAAAATTCCCGAGTTGCACTACCTTAGAATATCGCTACGAATAAAATATCAAAATTTTACATTTTATTCAGACTACACGAAAAATATCAAAAATTTAAATTCGTAAACGTCGGAAAAAAATATAAAATCAAGAAAAAGACATAAAAACACCTCAAAAATTACTGAATCGCACCAGTCACTTTAGAATATTGATACGAATAAAATATCAAAATATTACATTTTTTCGTGATTGTCGGAAAATATAAAAAAAATTAATCGTAAACGTCCGAAAAATATTAAAATCTAGAAAAAGACATAAAAACACCTCAATAAATTCTCGAATTGCACCAGTCACCTTAGAATATCGATGATCATAAAATAATAATTTTTTCCTTTTTGTCATGACTGACCGAAAAATATCAAAAAATTTAATTAGTAAACGTCTGAAAAAATATAAAAATCAATAAACAGACATGAAGTATTAAAAATTCTCGAATCGCATCAGTCACATTGGAATATCGATACGAATAAAATATCAAAATATTACATATTTTCGTGTTTGTCTGAAAAATATCAAAAAATTTAATTTGTAAATGTCCGAAAAATATAAAAATCTCAAATATTTTTATTCGTAACCGTCAGAAAAATTTAAAAATAAGAAAAATGCATAAATATTTTCGAATCACACCAGTCTCCTTAGAATATCGATATGAATAGAATATCAAAATTTTACATTTTTCGTGACTGACCAAAATATATCAAAAAATTTAATTCATGAACGTCAAAAAAATATTAAAATCAAGAAAAAAGACATTAAAATACCTCAAAAAAATTCTGATTCGCACCAGTCACCTTAGAATATCGATACGAATAAAATATAAAAAAATTAATTCGTAAACATTAGACAAAATATAAAAATAAAGAAAAAGACATAAAAACACCTCAAAATATTTCCAAATCTCAACAGTCATCTTAGAATATCGATACAAATATATAAAAAATTTAAATTTTTTCGTGAATGCCCAAAAAATATCAATTCGTAAAGGTCTGAGAAATATTAAAATTAAGAAAAAGACATAATAGTATCACAAAAAATTCCTGAATCGCACTAGTCATCTTAGAATATTGATACGAATAAAATATCAAAAAAATTGTAAACGTTCGTAAAAATATCAAATTCAAGAAAAAGATTAAAAACACCTCAAAAATTGTTGTATCACACCTTGTCACCTTATAATATCGATACAAATAAAATATCCAAATTTTACATTTTTCGTAACAGCCGAAAAATATCTAAAAATTTAATTCGTAAATGTCTGAAACATATAAAAATCAAGAAGTAACATAAAAACACCTAAAAAAATTCCCGAGTCGCAATTGTTATCTTAGAATATCGATACGAATAAAATATCAAAATTTTACATTTTTTTGTAACTACCCGAAAAAATCAAAAATTTAAATTCGTAAACGTTTGAAAAAAATATAAATTCAAGAAAAAGACATTAAAACACCTAAAAAATTACTGAATCGCACTAGCCACATTAGAATATCAATACGAATATAATGTCAACATATTACATTTTTTCGTGATTGTCGGAATATATAAAAAAAATTAAATTGTAAACGTTCAAAAATATTAAAATCAAGAAAAAGAAATAAAAACACCTCAATAAATTCTCGAATAGCACCAGTCACCTTAAAATATCGATGCTCATAAAATATCAATTTTTTCCATTTTGTCGTGATTGACCAAAAAATATCAAAAAATTTAATTCGTAAATGTTCGAAAAAATATAAAAATCAATAAACGGACATGAAATATCTCAAAAAATTCTCGGATCGCATCAGTCACATTGGAATATCAATACGAATAAAATATTAAAATATTACATATTTTCGTGTTTGTCCGAAAAATATCGAAAAATCTAATTTGTAAATGTCCGAAAAATATAAAAATCACTAAAAAACATAAAAATACCTCAAAAATTCACGCTATACATAACTAACTAAAGATTTTCAGATATAGATTTGTCAATGAACTAATTTCTTGAACTTCACTTAACTTTATATTAACAACAACAAAAATAATTCTTAAACATGGTCAATTATGTTTCAATTAGAAAATGTAATGAGGATAATCATCAGATTACCTGGAATGGAAACTTCACCAGTTTAAGCAGATTTGCCAACTGTTGCAGAACCTCATGACTAGCAATCCTTCTTTTCAGTGAAGCGCACCCAAGAAGATGCCGAACAACACGAAATAAATGCATTTCTTAGAAGAATTTTGACTTGTGACGCTACTTATCTTCCCACGGCGCTTACCACCTTTCAGTTGCTGAATGTCCCCAGATATACACTCAAGTAAACTTGGTACACTTGATGTGACAGACATCCCAAGTGCATCTAAACACTGCTTCACAACGTCATTCTTCTCAACCAACTTATCAATGGTCGAGAGCAATTTAGCATTGGAAAAAAAATTGTGGCAGCCACCTCTTCCCATTCATACAAAGTAAAGCCACAAATATTAGTGCCTTTCCCTTCTAAACTTCACTTCCCTGCTCAATTAGAGTCAACAGATACAAAACAAGATTGTTGTCTTCGACCAAGGCAAGAAGGTACCTTCCAACACTTGGAGGTGTATGACTTTCAAGGGGGTTCATGTTCGAATGTTTAAGCAGATTTGTTGCTCTCGTGGATTACGCTTGACCAGGCTTGAAACCATAACCTTGAATGAAAGTTTTTCCATGACTCGTTGAATACTAGAAGGGCTAAAACGAACAAGACGAGCAAGCAAGACGCTGTTGTCAGCCTCATGATCTCCTGCTTTCCAGGAGCCCTAAATATGTAGCATAGGTTAGTAATGACATCTTGGCTGGTGAAACAAGCTGACAAATACCCTTCTTGATTGGAGATATTTTCAATTGTCCTTAGAGCATAAAGCTGAGTAAGTCATCCTCTTCGTTTCGTAAAAGTGATGAAACCAATGATATTATTGGACTTGTAACCTACAACATTAATATTTTCAGAAAGGAATGTTAAGACAGGATGTGAGGCTTTGCAATATGTAAAGATAGTACATATGCTTGTATGATTTTATCATAGTTTTTCCATAACCCCAAGAGAAATATCTTAACACACTTGTTTAATTTACTACTATATAGTGTTGCATTACAAGAGAATTTGAAGCTTATAAGTTCATCCAGTTCACTAATTAAAAGATAAATGGTTTTTAACCCATTAATAAGTATACCATTTATATCCTAGAGACAAATTGCATTTTTTCTCATAAGAGCTGCATTGGTGCTAGAACTGTGTTTCTGACAGTGTCTATGCTTTGAAGTGATTGATCATAGAACACTTAATACTTACAAACTAATTGCAATATAGCTTAGTAATTTATTGTGTAGAGGATTTTTAACAAATATAACACTCCATCCGTTTCAATTTGTTGATCCTACTTTCCTTTTTTGTATGTTTCAAAAACAATGTGTCTTCTCTTTTTGGGCAACTCTTAAATTTCATCTTTCCACATGACATATTTAAGACCACGAGATTCAAGAACATTTGGTACATTCTACATATCTTTAGTTTAGATTCACAATATTCAAAAGACTTCTTTACTTTCTTAAACTCCATGCCAAGTCAAAACAAGACAAAAATTAATATGGAGGGAGTAACAAACTTGACAAGCTGCACCAATAAGAAGTTACAACAACAAAGATACCTGCCAATAGGATGAGGGTCAGCTGTCCTTAGATGGAGATTCCATTGGTTTATTATCCTGGGCATGCTCATTTATAGTAGATATATAAAATAGTAATTCGCCCAAAGCAGCCATGGAAAACCTTCTCACTCTCTGTTGCATGTCTCTCAGACCATCAGTTAGTGCACCTAATATTCCAGAATTTTCCAGCTCATCCCCAAAAAAAGTAGAGTGACGAATCAACAAGCCAATAAGTTAAGAAAATTGAGCATGCAACAGATAAACCTTGGAGTGACTAAGCATTTTGGCTAGAACCAACACAATAGAGTCATTGATCAAGATGTTGGTTACATCAGCTTTGATGCTAAAAAAGCTCAAGGTATCTGATCACATTTTGCTTCTCCCCTTAGGGAGTATTCCCACTAATAATGATGATTCTACTATTCTTATTGCTCATTTGACATTTTGACAAAATCAAACAGTTGAGGTGGTGCATCAAATGAAAGTGAAGGAATTGCATCTGAACCTTTATCTGATTTTCTGTGAGGCATTACAGTTCAGACTGAGAAATCAGATGGACGCCAAATAATATCTGAAAGGTTCGTAGATGGTTTTGAGATATCAGAGAAATCATATTTTTATAAGAACTAGAAGAGGAAAAGGAAGCATGATTGAACTTCAACGTCATATAATTGGTCAAAAGCACTTCCAAACAGTTTACCTTTAATGAACTTCCAAACAGATATGCCACCAATTTAACTTTTTCTTTGTTCATTTTAGGGTAAAAAAGAGGGAAGATAGAGGTGAACTACCTGGGAGGAAGGTGTTTTTTATATATCACTCAATTTTCTTGCTAATCCAAAATCACACAGCTGCCAGGAAACAAATAGAACTTTAACATCACATAACTGGTAAAAAGCTCATCATGATGTGTAAAAATCACAACATAAATATCACCATACTTTCGTGATCCCATTTTCATCCAACAGGATGTTTGATAGCTTTAAGTCACAGTAAATTATTCCCTTTGAATGCAAGTATCTGGTATAGTAGACAAAACACCAAAAAATAATTCATGCCAACAACAACGTGTTACAAAAGAACAATGAAGGCTAAAGTTACTAACTTGCAGAAGAGCTCTAACAAGGCCACAAGCATGTTCATGTATTGAATATTCAAGAAGCTTACCATCTTCAACCAGAGATTAAAAGATGTTAAAATCTCCCAGGTGTGGTTTAAACTAAAATATAGGTAAGATGATGCAGATGCAAGTTGTTACATTACCAACTACAGTAAACTGTGGTCATTTTGACTACTCTTTAAATACAAATAAAAAAGAAACCTATTTCTTTCACATCATTTTGCTGGCACAAGAAACAAGTTACCTTTATTTGTGAGACTACAAATGACTCTATGAAAGTGTTCAATCACACATGACACTGATGTCCTTAGTGCCTGTTTGGGAAATCCCAATGTAGGCATGCAACAAATTTACCATGAAACCTCAATATCCCACGCCTCTACTAAAAAAATGACCAAGAAGAATTAGGGTGTGTCACATATTTTGGATGTTCGTGTCTAATGTCAGCATAATATTCCAACACAATAGTTATACCACTGGAACAATGAAATGTATTTATAAAATAGCAGACCTGCCAGTGCTTACCTGCTGCAATAAGCTCATGAGATTTCTTCCAACAAAATATTCTAAAACCAACCATAGGTGTGCAGATGTTTCATACCTATGGATAGGTTGAATTAGAAAATATGTCAGAGAAACCTTCTTATTAAACACCAAAATGACCTTTACCACATAAACAGAATTGAAGAAAAAGAGAGGGGTTACATGGAAGACATGAAAAAGATAAATCTCAGCAGGAGTAGAACTTCAATACATTTGCATGATCTATAGAATGAAGAATTCTGACCTATAGCAAATGTAGCCATAGAAGAATAAGTACATGAATAGAGGAAACTGAAGGAAATAGATTTTAAGAAAAGAGGTTGGGGTTCTTGATCATTTGTTCACGAGACTTCAAATTTATGCCACATAATAGAAAGAATGTGTTATGACTCATATAATTTCCAATAATCTCATAACTACAATAGTCACAAGCATCAACAATCCTTAACATCTAGATATATGATGAGGCAAGTTGTTTTCTAAGACCACGCTTACGAAAAGCATATACATTTTGAAGTAGTTTAGCTGCTTTTGAAGATTTGCAAGAACTATAGATAATGTTAAAACAATTGAGTAAGCTGATCCATTAGCACTGTAGATTAGCAAGCACCAATAGAATTTTACCGCAAGTCAATGAATATAACTTACACAACAATGTGTTGTAAGCTGACAGTTTCTAAAGTCCATACTGAGGAGGGTTCACATATAATTACCCTGTAACATAACATTTTTCCTTTGTATCTATTCCTCTAAAAAAGTAGACTACAATTAAAAATCAAAAGTATTATGAAGTTATCAAATTTCTAAGAGAGCTATTGGGTAGCTAATAAATTTTGCAGCTTGGTTCCCAATTCAATCGTAAATTATCTTCTTCCCAATAGGGTGGCCTAGCAATCAAATAGATCAAGTAACAGCTTAGGAACTAAGGTTCAAATTTCACAAAAGACGACACTAGGTGATATCTTCTCATCTACCTACAACTTCATGTGCATAGTTAAACATACAGTACTATGTAATACAATATACGGTGCCCAAATACCAATGTTATCAAGAGGATAAATCAGGCACTTTCACAGTTTTATACTTAGAGGTGCAAGCAAATACAACTAAGGGTCCATCGAAAACAGTTTAATCACTCTACCTCCCAAGGTAAGGAAAAGGTCGGTTTACACTCTACCCTCCTCAAACCCCACTTTATGACATTATGTTGTGTACGTTTTAGTTGTTGTAGGTGAAATCAAATTCAATCCCTCCACCATATGTTTTTTCAGAATGAGAACCTTGTCAACAAAACATAAAATAGTAATAACAGAATGAACAAGCAATAGTCTTGGAGAAAACTACCTTTAGTAATTTCAGATTCATCGATTTCCTCTTCTTCTTTTCCAATCACGGTGATGCTATCCAAGCTCTCCACTTTTTGTTGATGGCTTTGAGCATTTTTGGCAGCAAGTTCTTGTTCCTTCCTCTCAATGTCGAATTTATTCAACTTTTCTTGAAACTCCTCATTGCATTTTTCAGCTCTTGACCTCTTTTTGCCTCAAGTTCACTTTATTTCTTCAAATATCCTAAATCAACTCTTCATTTCATTTTCATGCCAATATGAAAAAAACCACGTTAAAAGCACCAATTTTAAACTAAAGCAAGCAAAAATAACTATGAGAAGAGCCTCAAATGAGTGGAAATTCACCACTCATCAGCACTCCCAACTTAGAAACTTTGTTTGTCCTCAAGTAAAGAAAATCAAAACCACAAAAGGCTCTTATTTCAAGATACACCACAAATCAATTTCCCTTTCTCAATTAAGCACAAAGGTAGTGGCTTCGGTTGGTACTAACAAATATTCCACATGCAAAATTTTCACAAAAGAAATCCTCTCATTCTCATGAAACATTTTCAAAAACCAAGAATCATTTAAGTGACAACAACTCAAAATCAAGAAATGACTCAACTCATTAACTCTTTCATATGCTCACTTGACTCAATTAGGAATTTTCAAAATCACAACTTTTTCAACTTACATGCCCTCACAAGAAAGAAGTGTCCCCAAAAACCACACACACATGTAAACAAGACAAGAGACAAATATGCAAACACTCACACTCACAAAGAATCATCTCATGCACACAAATGTCACACCATAGGCTTGCCCATATTTTCAATCAACCTTGACTCAACTCCATTTGGTTAGAAATCTCAAAGGACTTTGTCAAGCTTGTAATGTAGGCTTAGGGAAGGTAAGGATACTATATAGGTATAAGTGACTACACCCTCCTCGATCACTACACAACAACTCCTCATTTCCAACTTTCTCCACTTTTTAAACCCATGCACATTTCACACTATTTTTCATTTTTCTTTTCTTATTTCCACTCTAAATTCCCCCACATGCAACCATTTTCAACTTTTGGAGGATTCAAGTCTCATTTATTCATTTTCTTTCTTTCTTTTCCAAAGCTTTTTCTTTCTTTAAGACTTCCATCCATCCTTCAATTTCTCTCTTCTTTTTTTTACATCAAGCCCTCATGTGGTAAGCATCCCTTCAATGAATTTTCCATAACAACACCAACTTAGGCTTTTAGTGTCAACTTTCACAACCTCAAGTTCAAGGAGGGAATTTTCTTTCTTTCTATTTCAATAAAAATAGGATAAGGCTTGTTATGTGGTTGCCAATAAAAATGATGAGACTCAAGGGAGACAACTAAGGATATATTTAATGCAAAGGTGGGATTAGGCTTTTAGTGTCAACTTTCACAACCTCAAGTTCAAGGAGGGAATTTTCTTTCTTTCTATTTCAAAGCTTATTCTTTCTTTAAGACTTTCCATCCATCCTTTAATTTCTCTCTTCTTTTTTTTTCTTTCTTTTTTTACATTGCGCCTTCATATGGTAAGCATCCCTTCAATGAATTTCCCATAACAACTCCAACTTAGGTTTTTAGCCTCAACTTTCACAACCTCAAGTTCAAGGAGGGAGGGGTTCAAAAGAGGGTTACTTTTTCAAAAAGGATAAGGCTTGTAATGTGTTTACCAATAAAAAGGATTAGGCTCAAAGGGGACAACTAAGGATATATTTAGCGCAAAGGTGGGATTTTTAAGCCAAGTGGACTTCAGGAACATCAAAGAAAGCCTAAGATCATTTCTCCAACCAAACTCAATCAAGACCAACCGGGCAAGTTGTAGGTGACAAACGTGAACACAAGGCATTATTCAACAACTCACCACACATGGCCTGCAAATCAATCAAGATTGTTCAAAATCTTACTTCCTTTTCAAAATACAAGTAGCATTGAACAGTTTAACCGCTAACGAATCAAAAGTCACAAAAAAGAGTTGTAAGAGTTGTCACAAAATCATTCATAACATGCTCAACCTTTTAAAAACAAGAGGTATGCTTAACATTATTCACATGTATGACTATGTTCTTAGTACCAACCAAGTCAAAACTTTCCCAAAAAGATGACGATTTTTCCCTTAAGAAAGTCGTTAGCCAATCCATCATCAGGAAACCTCATGCATCTATTCGGGAATGGCTACTCAAACTTCGCCCCAATCAACGCCAATCAAACACTCACAATCAATCAATGATTTACCCTTAAGAAAGTCATCACTCTCTATCCATCATCGGGCATCATCAATCCAAATCTTGTTATCAAAATAAAAACAAAGAAGCTACAAACTACACATTAGAAACTAAAAAAGACCAATCCAACACAATATCAGCAAAAACATCCTCAATAACAAAGTCCGACAAGGGCACAGCAGTCCATAACAAAGAACAAAAGTACGCCCGACAAGGATACAATCACCATATGCAGAAATAATCAATAAAATGACTACAAGGAGAGTATCCCCAACTGAAAATGAGACTGTGTCCTCACTTCGGGCCAAGTAATCATCATATTTTCGGGCACATTCTACCTATAGGAACCTACTCTCATAAAAAGTACTCTTCCTCCTCAATTTTGCCTATAGGAAAATAGTCTAATCTCTCAACCTCCCAAGGTAAGGATAAGGTCGGTGTACACTCTACCCTCCCCAAACTCCACTTTATGAGATTATGTTGTGTACATTGTTTTTGTTGTTGTAGGTGAAATCAAATTCGAAACTTCACCAATCCAATTCCACTTCCCTAGAAAATTCTATACAAATTAAATCTAAATCTCAAATTACAATTAAAATTCAAATATAAAAAACATGGAAACTTTTTTCATGGGGTTTCTTACTTCAAGAACCTTGTTTTTCTGAGATTTATCCACACTTTTAATCGCAAAATACTCGATTGTCTTCTTGTTTCTTCCTTTATATATAGTCTGTAAAAAGACAAGAAAAAACAAAAAAAACTTAAACGACACAGTCAATCTAAAGCATAAACAAAAGAACATAGAAAGAAAAAAAAACCATTACCAGCGTCTTGCACGGCCAAAAACTTCATATGTATGATACTGATTCATATTTTTTTCACTTGCTCATACAAAATCACTTAGCTAGGGTTTTTCTTCTTTTAGTCTGCAAAAAAATCAAAAAAACAAACTTAAACAACACAGTTAACCTAAAAACGCAAACAAAAGAAGAACATAGAAAGAAAAAAATCAATACCAAGTGTTTTCGTGGCCAAAAGCTTCATATGTATGATACCGATTCATATTTTTCACTGGCTCACACAAAAACACTAAGCTACGGTTTTTCCTCTTTTCCTAAATCTGAAATTGAAACTAATCAAAGAGATTACTGAAGAATTTCATTGAAATCGATAAAAAAATCTTTATTGAAATCAAGAATTTCATTAAAAAACGGTGAGATTTGTGAGGATGATAAGAGAGTGAGTGTGTGCAACGGTCCGATAGGGGTATATTGAAATGAAATGAAAATTATTTTTCTTTTAGAGAAATGAAAATTATTTTTCTTTTAGAGAAAAGAAAAATTAAAAAATTAGAATAGGGGGCAAAAAAGGTATATTTTGTTTGTTTTATAATTGTCCACTAATTAATGTACTAAAATTTGCATCCATAAATACATTTTTAGTGGATTAAGGTATAATATCTAATTTGAAAACAAAATTACTTTTTTTTTTTTAGTTTTACGAGATAAATATGCTTTATATTATAAAAAAAAAGTTATTTTAGTTATTGAAAAATAAAAAAAAATTGTAATCGAAAGTGGTCTTTTTTCTTGTCTCATCAATCCCAATTTATCTGGGTATTGATAAATTCCTTTATTTCTACATATTACTTCTAAAAGGTTGTGACTAATAAAGTTTATATATAAATCCAAAAGGATCCATCCAAAGGTAGTATTTTGAGTGGAAAAAGTCAAGAGAGAGTGAGATCAATAGAGAGAGAAAAATTCAAACTGAGAGATATTTGTTTCTTTAATATTTTTGAGATGTTTCAAACAGGTATGGAAATTGAAGTTCAAACTCAAAACGACATCAACTGTGTTAATGTGTTGATCAAACGATTGGAGGAGAAGAATGTAACCGTAGCTAATTTAAGGAGAGAAACTGTTTTTCATACAAGGTGTGGGATAAATGGTAATATTTTCTCTATGATTATTGATAGTGAATGTGGTACTAATGTAGTAAGTTCATATGTTTTGGAGAAGTTGAAACTTACATGCATTAAACACACTACTCCTTATAAGCGGCAATGGTTGAATGATTTTGGTGAGCTTAAGTTGACTAAGCAATGCATGATTTCGCTCTCCATTGGGAGATATTCTGATAAGGTTCTTTGTGATGTCATTCCAATGCAAAATTGTCACATCATGCTTGGGCAGCCATGGCAATTTAATAGGAGTGTAATTCATGATAGGAGAAAGAATAGAGTTTCTCTTGAACTATACAAAAGAAAATATACACTTGCACCTTTAACTCCAGCCCAAGTTTACGAAGATCAGAAGCGCATGAAAGAAGCAATGGAGAAATTTGAGAGAGGAAAAAGGGAGTTCATTCTGACATTCCAAGAAAGGAAAAAGGAGAGGCCGTGTTGTGTGAAGAAAATGAGATGTCAAGTGAGAAAAAAAGTGAGAATGAGAGAAAATAAAATAGATATGACCATGAGATCAAAAAAGAAAAGGATGATAGTAAGGTCGAGAGAAAAACAAGAAAGTTTGAGTGAGGTTATTTCTTATTCTAACTCTAGAATTCCTACTATTTCTTCTGGTTGTTTTGACTCTCTTGTAGATACTCATGGAAAAGTATGCATTGAAAAATCAAGGTCATTGGATGTACTTAATCCTAAAGTGGTTGATTATTGTGAGTTGAAAAGGGTGTTTGCTACTAGTGATGATCAGGTACATGATTATGACCACTTCAATGCTTATTTTGATACAATGTATGTTGAAGAATGAGTGAATAGTATTTATGTGGAAGAATATTTGGGAGGTATAATTGAAGATGCTTGGCTATATCACAAAAGTTTACAATTTGATAGGAATTTTATATTGTCTTTGTTATGCCCATTGGAGTACTTTATTGATAGAGCTAAATTGAAGTTCCATGTATAATTCGCAATGGCATCTACACAAGGAGTTCGTTGTGTTTATATAAGTAGGAGAATTTTCTATTGGGATGATCATGTTCACATGCATTATAAGGGTGTATTTATACATGCCAGGATTAATTGGGTTAAGTGGACACATGGTCACTATCTTATTTTGTTCCTACCATTGTTGCTTTCGAGTAATGGATGTTGTTTGCTAATGCATGTCGTCTTGATTTTGAGAGATTTAAATTCGAGGACGAATTGTTCTCAAGAAGAGGGGAATGATAGCATCCATGTCAGCCTATTTGTACTAAAGTTGACGGGATTCAATACAAAATCAAGAATATGTTTATCACGAAAGAGGTGTCCAAATTCAAGCCCAAAAGAAAGAAGATTGGGTCACACGAAGCCCAATAAAAGAGTCCAAAAAGCTGAACGCTCAAAGTCAAAAGTTTCTATTTTAAAAGTTCCCTAGTTTAAAAAATTTCCTAGTTTAAAAGTTTCCTAGTTTAAAGTTTCCTAGTTTAAAAGTTACCTAGTTTAAAGTTTTACTAGTTTAAAGTTTCCATAAAGTAGGATTTAAATCCTATTCTATTTGGGATAGGTTTTCCCTATATATTGATGTTATTATTTTAGAACATACATGATTAAGATTATTTGAGAGGTTTCTCTTCTTTACACCTTTGTGTGTGGTGACTATGGATGTCACGCCCCGAGCCTACACCCTGGGTGGGACTGGCACTGGAAGACCATTGCTGGTCCCAAGCGAACCCTTAGCCTGGCTTACATAACTCATCGAAAGACAATATTCATATCTATAATGAACAATGAACTTAACTGAACTGAATAATAAAATAACTGAGAATGTTTTAAAGATTAAACATTCAACTTGGCCAAAAGTGGCAACCCAAGTCTTAACAATAAGGAAATGAAAATGAAAAGACTCACAAGACTAACATTTGACTGTCTATGCAGCCTCTAAAACAACCGAGATGGATGTTGGGACAAACCCCACAACATCCTAATGAACTAACTAGAAAGCAATGAAAATAAATCCTCCAGAATGCAAGGAGGCTCACCGACTGACTCTGAACTGCTCACTGGATCAACGGTGCTCTGGGATGCCGATCCTAGTTACCTGTGTCTGCATCATAAGACGATGCAGGCCAACTGACATCAGTACATTGAATGTACGAGTATGTCAGTTGGAATGCTAAACAATACATAGGCTTGAAAAGATTATGAAAGAAACACTTACCTTGGCTCTTCTTAACTCACGAATAACTTCACTCAAAATAAAGCAATGAACACATGTAATATATGGGAAGCTTTATAAAACAGTAAAAAGAACTTATATCGTTAAAGGAAATGCAATAACAAACTCAACTTTACTCATATAATAAAATAATATAGTTTCAGTGGGAGATTCTCTAACCGACAACCACCACTATGAACTTAAGTGGTGATACATCGTCCTTACCATCACGCTGCCATACTGTCCTATACTTTGCCGTCATACAGAACTACTTAACTTAGTGGATCCACTAGCTTAATTTATGTGATCATCTAAAAAGTATGACCCATTAATACCCATGATGGCTACATGGTTTATGGAGACTAGAGTTAATATGAACTCGCGTCCCCATATCGGTGCTCAATACTACTCCCAAAATATACTTAGCTCATATGTTTTTAAAACAACTTCTTTCTTTGGTTTGAGATAATTACTCAAAACTTAGCTTAAAGGCTTCTTGAAATCAATGTTCCCTTTTCTTGCTCAAATTTGAAAACATTTATAAACTCTTAGGGAATACTTAGTTCCCTTATAGCTTCTTTGAGAAATAAACTCAACTCTTTAGTCTTAGCCTAACTTGAAACTTTTAGTCTTAAAACAAAGTTGGAGGATTTGTAAAAGACCCTTGAAAACTTTGATGACTTCACTTGAATTGACTCTTAACTTTCCCTCAATTGAATTATGGATTCAAGGATTATGATTTGTGATAGGAAAGGTCTCTTGATGTTTAGGAATGATTTCAAATAACTAAACTTGAGAAAAGTTACGAAATCACCGTCTTGGAACAAGTCCGCGACACGGAGATTCTCCTAAATAAATGCTCGCATAATTAAATTTTGAGATAGAGGAGTCCGCTTCCTATCCGCGACGCAGAGGAAATATTTGCTCACTGGGGGAACAAGTCCGCGACGCGGACTTCTTTCAGGAACCCTACTCGACTTTTCCCTTCTTTGTTTTCCAGCCCCAATTCTCCTAAACTTGACTATTTTTCTCAAATTCATTTTAGATCCCGATGCCCAGCATATATACTCAAGAACCTAACTAAAAACAACCCTGAAACACAACATAAGGGTCTCAGAAACTCCACAATTCAACCAAATTCACGAACAACATTCAAATTCCAGAATTCATATCAAGAACACTAACTTTCAAACTCTTTTAGGATGAATTGCGCTGAACTAAACATGTTTGGCACGTGTGTGAATGAACCCAATGCTATGAGAGACTCACATACTTTGTAGGATCACTTCCTTGGTGAAATCCACAACCAAAATCGATCGTTCTTGGCGAATCTTGCTTTTCCTCTTCTCTTTTCTCTTCTTTTCTCTTTTCTCGGAGCCCTAGCATGAAATTTCAACTTTTCTAAACTGGCTAAATCTGATTTTTACCCCAATTAACTCCTAAAAACGAATTAGAATAATTCGGTAAGGAAAAGACTAAATTACCCTTCCAAATCCGGATTGGACATTTCCTTATTTGAACATCCCAACTTCCAAAGGGAATATGTCACTCATAAGAACTAGGAATTCCGCAAACTTAACGGCGTTGGAAAGATCATTCCAAGAGAGTTCCAGCCATATCTAGAAGTACACCTAACTCATCCTGAGCAAGGAGTTATGGCCGTTTGAAGTTGACCAAAAACTCCATTTTCCTAACATAAACAAATTTCCAGATTTGTCACTATTTCCAAAAACAATTATTTCAAGTTCTTAGCTTCTTCCTAACTATTTCAAATTGCGAGATGTTATAATATCTCCCCCTTGGGAATATTCGTCCTAGATTGAGATTACTCCTACTAGGTTAAGGGTGGTAACATCAAGTTCAAACACCCAACAAGCAAATGCAAACAAATAACATGCTCACTCATAATTTAAAGAGTACTAAGAAGAGAATTAGTACCTTGGTCTGCATTTTCTCCGGATTCAAAGAGATGTAGATATCTCTTCTTCATATCCTCTTCAGCTTCCCAAGTAGCTTCTTCAAGAAATTGGGTCCTCCAAAGGAATTTGACTGATGCAACATCTTTTGTCCTCAACTTGCAAACTTAGCGATCTAGAATCTGAATCTGAATCTCC